TGGGCGCTGTTGCGTGCCCGCATTCTTCTGAGAATTTCAGAAACTTGATTGTCTTGGGGTTTGCTCGAATAAGGTGCTGTGGGCAGATCCCGATCTTCTGGAACCGTAGTCGGGGAGCTCCTGTTCCGAGGCCTGATGGGAAAACTCGCTGGATCCACCTCCTGGACCCCTTTGGGAAGGCCTGGGCGTCGGGGGCGATGGCCCAGCGGGGCCAGCTGCAGGGCGCCGACCAGGATCATGGGTTTCTGAGGCGCCGGCGCCGTGAGCGCGCGCTCATGGTCCAGGGTATCACAGGGGAATGGCTACATCGTAATGGCTATACCTTCCTGACTAGCGCCCGCGACCTGACGAATGCGTTCGCAAGCAGTGCCAGACCGCCGATGGAGTCTGCAATTCGAAATTCATTGTTGGGATCATCTGTACGGTATGGGCACCGACGTCTTCGGAGCGCTGTTATCACGGCGCGGGGGCACGAGGAGGATGTCAATATTTCAACGAGGAGTGGAGGACTGATGGCGGATGAGTTCGCAGTCGACACCTTCGTTCGCACCTTCGTCCCTCCTGTGCAGAAGTGGCTGAGTGCCCGCCCCGCGTTCGACCCCCAAGCCTCTGTGCTCTGTGCTAGGCTGCCGTTCTTTCGAGATGGTCGGCTTCTGTTTGAACGTGGGGCGGTCAACTGCTCGCTTACGAAGTACGCTGATGATCTTGCCAAGAAGCTCGTGCTCCCGCGAGGTGTTGAAAGTCGGCAGTCCAATCGGTCTCTGGACGAGCACCTTGCGGAAGTCGGTTTTGCTCAGGATCTAACCAAGCAGGACGTATTGTTGCACGTTCAGGGGTACGGAGCTGCTACATGTCTTCGTGATGTTCGGGCGGGGCGTCTCGTGTTTCCTGGAAAGCCTGTTCAGTGTGCTAAGAGTCTGGGAATCCAGGTAATCTGCTAACCAACTAGCTACGAGTTTGAACTTAATTCTCGTACCAGTGCGGTTCGTCAGGCGTGGTATCAGATGGGTGGTTTCTGGACTCTTCGGGGCGTCCCTCATCGACTTAGACGTTTTATACTGATCTCAAAGATTTATAATGTGGCTCTCTCTCTCTCTCTCTCTCTCTCTCTGGGATTGGGGCGTTTCTCCCGAGTGTGCAACAAGCCCAGCGCCTGCAGCATGTTGTGGCACAGTATGCGCGAAAGGCGATGCTGGGTCAGGCTGTTAATTGGGCCTCTGGAGTTCACCCAACAAGTCTGATCTGGAAATACGAATACGTCGTCTCCGACTCGGGCAAAGTGTTTCAAAAGTCCCTGGGGCCCATCGTCGACTCCTGGCGTGTCTTTTCGGAGCCTTCGGTAGTGATCCATATCATGTTGACCTGAGGGGTAGGCTGGAGGGGGTGGTGTCTCCGTGGGTTCAGCGTATGTGTACAGACATTGATAGCTTTCATGTGATTGATGAAGGGGCTTCGTTACTGGTACAACTTGAAGGGAGGTTTTTTTTTCTATTGTCTGCTGATCCTGAGTGGGCTGACGTATTTTATAATATTGATGTGCGTCAGTTGCGTGCTGCGGTTTTGTCTGTGAATATTCCTCCTCCTGTGACGTCGACTGATGTTGCTACTGTCGTGGGGGATGGGGTCGAGGTTGATGCCATGTTTACTTGCATGATTAAGAACGAGAGTGGGGAGGTATGTGGGCGGGCCTTACCAGATGGACGTGCTCTACATAGCCATATTATTTCCCACCACGGGTTTCGAGCCTTAACTAATGTCGTGAATGTAACTAATTAGTGTTGCGTGTGTCTTGCCACCTTTGCTCATCTCAAGAGAGCCCGACGTCACTTGTCTCGCAATATGGTCAAAGGCAGGTGCCATAAGGATTGCACCCGCAACATGGCTGAGATTCGGAGCCCAGTATCTCTTAAGTGTCCTCTGTGCGAGTTCTCTGCAAGCGTTTTGTACGAACTGCAGGTGCATCTCAGATCACACCTTGACCCTCTTCCTCTGCCACCTCCAGACGATGGACGCGACTCCGTCGTGGATGCTGGCATCGCCCGCTGCTGTCGCCGAGGGAGACAAATCGAACCATCGCAAGCGGCGGGCGATCGAGGACGTAGTAGAGGAGGCCAAGAAGGAGGGAGGAGGCGGCGGAGTTCTCAAGGCCCTTGTGGCCATCTTAGCGCGGCTGTCCCTCAGCAGCGCTGCACAACTACGCGAGCTGTGCGGCGTTGTCTTCGTGACTTGTCTGGTAGAAGCCGAGCATGCAGTCATCAAGGCCGCAGGCGTCGCATATCATCAAGAGGCGAAGCGGCGGAAGGCAGACAATTATTCAGAGACTATGGGCCCTCCCTTTGTTCAAGTTTGGGTCGCCCTTCTTCGTGCCATAGGCCAGGCCGGCCCACCGCCCGATGTCGCCAAGTCGCTGGAGCAGTATTGGAACGACTTCATCATGAGGAACAGCATCGACCAGGTGGCGACGAGCGTGAGGGCGTGTCGGGTGCGGCCGATTCGCAAGCATGACAACCAGAAGGCCTTGGTGCTGGTGACGTTCGCGGTGGATCACAGTCATCAGTATCTCGAGGGCGCCATAGTGAAGTTCTTCCACTCCATCGGTGCGACCAGGAAGTATGGGGCGGCGCCCAGGGGCGCCCTCGAGAGGGATGCACAGCGTTTGTTGGACCAGCTGGAAGGGAAGTAGGCGGTCCAAGTACGTTACCACTGGTGAGAGATGATGCTCAGAGTTCTGCGGGTGTATCTGAGGGGTGTCGCCTACCACCAGTACTTCAATTGAATGTGGGTGATATGCACACTGATACTCGCCTGCGTATGGGCACAAGTATCTGGAGTGGTACGTCTGCTGTGCCGACGACGTCTGCGGGGTCTTCGACGTATCCGACTCGCTCGATGGGTTCAACAGGTAGGCTGCCTGCTCCTCTGATTCCATCCAGATCTGAACCCAGAATTCGACCTCTCGTTCTGCCTCTCGGGGTCCGTCCTGGGTCCTCGGCCTCGGCCCTCGGTCGCTCCGTGGCCCCTCGACCTCCTCCTGCTCGATCTCGCCCTCCCGTCCCTCCTCCGCCCGCGTTTTGTGGTAGTGAGCGATTCCATGCCAGTGAACGGTGAGTTGCAACGTCGTGGATTGCTTCCCTCCCCCGTCTTGGGAACCTCGGGACAGGGGCCTTGCGTCTCTGAGATCTCTGTGGCTGCTGGTGCGGCCGAGGATCGATTTGCTTTGAGGGGGAGCGTCCATGATGACCGAACTGTTTTCATTGCTCGGGTTCGTGCGAAGCCCGCGAGCCGTCGAGCGAGAGGGGTAGGGCCACGGGGGCCTGCCTAGTGTCCGACGGGGTTTCCTGTAATTCGGGGGTGGTGCCATGAGACGCCCACAGGATATTCCTCCATTGGGGCCGTCTCCAGGCTTGAGCGCTCCCCGCCTACAGGGCTCCTCACGTTGGAAGTCTGACTCACTGCAGTCACTTCGATCCAACCTAATTTTGTCTCGTAGCTAGGGAGAGACACTGGGTCCTATAGTTCTTTGCTTGCTTTGCTATTCCTCCTCCTCCTCCTCCTCTTCCTGTCCCTCCCGTACTCTAGGATCCGCGGTAGCACAAGCAAAATGGGAACAAGGAGGAAGGGAGGGGTCCGGAGAGCACGACGCCACAAAAACAAGACGGGGACTCGATATCTCGATATCTCGGTATCGGGGGCGGGGTTCGTTCGTCATCATTGTCGTCATCACCGCTGCCATAATCATCATCCTCATGCTCCTCATCGTCATCACCATCATCATCACCATGCTCATCACAAGTATCATCATCATCATCAACAACAACAACATCAGCATCATCATTACCGTCTCCATGACCATCATCATCATCACCACCACATTCATCATCATCATGACTCCGACTGCTCTTTTCCAGACCACTGCTTGCGGTGAACGAGTGAGCATCTTCAAACCACATCTGCCCCAGCTTTTTGGGGGTGGGAGGGATTCGGGTGAACCAAAAAGCGCTATAGAGCGGAGAACGGATGACGAGGTCGGGTCATGAACGTGGGGCACAAATATGACTCCGACTGTTCTTTTCCAGACCACTGCTTGCGGTGAACGAGTGAGCATCTTCAAACCACATCTGCCCCTATACAGAACACCCGCATACAGCACTGGAACGGCGAATTTTATTCGACGAATTCTACTGGCCTGGTTCTTGCTGCAGGAAAACCCCCCCGAGGCCCCCAAGTAAGAGGAGAGGGGAAGAAGGGAAGGGAAGAGGGAAGAGAGGAGAAGGATGGCCACAGTTCGTGCACACGCAAGAGGCTGAGGGACGAGGCGATAGCCTTGGATAGCACGAGGCACAGCTTCTCGGGGTAAACCTGCTTCTGTCGTGTCAAGAATCCCCCTTTTCCCGTAGGCCCGTCCAACTGGTAGTGTGGTTTTCCCGAAAAGCTGTAAGTTCCCCTGCCCCGGCATTTGGCCGCATCCAGGGAGGGGCATTTGACGTTAAACAAGTTGAAACGGGTACGAGTTCTCCACGGCGTGCCGAACGCGCAATAATCGATGACGTATGACGTGCATTCGGGACGCTGCATCATAGCTGGACGTCGGTGGCCCAGCCAAAAGTAGGACTGAGCGGGATTTTTCTCACCACAGGGTAGCCCTAGCTGGATACAAGTTTCTAGGAGGACACCGGCGCGATGATCAAGCACGTTGCCCTCAGAAACTGCCACCTGGTCCCGCGAATCCAGATTTGGGAGGCCAAGAGGGCATTCAGGACTGCGCAGCTGATGAGGAAGACGAGACCACTGCGGAGCCCCGCGGGCCATCGTAAACGACTGACACGGAGTGCCTGCCCACATTCCCAATACAAGGCCAGAGCGGATCCAGCCGAGCAAGGCGTTGAAAACGTCAGTGTCCAACAAGTCGTGGGCAGGTCCATGGCAGATATCAATGCAAACGACAGCGACGTTGAGATCAGCAAGTGAGGAAGCCAGGCCTCCAGCCCCCGAAAACAAGTCTAAGAAGATCCTGCGGCCGTGCGGATGCGGCTGTGCAAGAGCCTGGCGTAGTGCACGGCGAAGGACATGAGGCCGCGGTCGACCAGCGGCGAAATCTGATTTCTCAACGCGGCCGCAAGCTTGTCGAGCTGCAAGGAGACCTGCGCGTGCTTGCCGTCGCGCACGACGCTCTGGAAACTGCGCCAGTGGCCCCTCTGCTGCACCTCGGCCAGCGAGCGCGCTCGAACGAGACGATCGTGGCTGGCGCCCCCGTGCCGCAGCGCGTAGAGGCTCGGCACGATACAGGAGTCCCCCACCTGCTCCACGGCCAGCGCGAAGGACCGGTACAAGTGCCTCGAGCTGACGTCGGAGAGGGACCCCCCGCTCGCGCGCCCGCCCTGCAGCGCCTGCAGCACCGGGATGGGCAGGCGGTGGCGGTCCAGGTCGAGGAGCACGCTCAGGTCGAACTCCTGGGTCTTGGACGGCCGACCCAGCTCCTCCACGCGGACGCAACAGCCCCAGAACGCTCCCTGGCCCCGCGACGCGGTAGGCGGCACCAGCTGCCCCACTGTGAGGCTGAGGAGCTCCGAGGGGCGCATGTAGGTCTCGAACATGATGAGCGTCCACTCCGCGAAGTTGAAGAGGAGCGAATCCCACTGCGGGCCCGACAAGGTGGGCAGCGGTCTCCGCCCCAGAATGTCGGCCAGCGGCTCCAGCACGTCGCAGTAGCCCGCCTGCGTCGCCGGGCGGACGCGCTCCTGCTGCAGACCGGTCAGCAGCGGGGCGAGCAGCCGCAGCCGCGCCCGCGTCGCAACTCGGAGGCGCTCCAGGCGGCTCGAGACCCAGCGGGCCCTCGGGGCCAGAGCGGGCCGAGCGGACAGCCCGCCGCGGTCCACCAGAGCGGGTGGGCGGGCAACCCCCAAGGGCGCTCGGCCCAGAGGGGCCGGCGCTCGCGGGGCCGCGGTCCGTCGGCGCGCCGGCGGAGCGGCTGCTGGAGAAGCCCAGGCCCGCAGCGCCCTCGTCGTCGGAGTCGGACGGGGCCGCAGGCCGCAACCGCGCTGGCGGCAGGCAGCCGGTGCCGGACGTGGACTGCCACCTCCGCTTTGCCCCCGTGACGAGGCTGGTGAACTCGGCTCGCAGCGTCCAGGGCGTTGAGTTCCGATGGGACCCGCCGGTCGCAAAGCTTGATACGGCGAGGGCGGTGGCCGAGGCGAGCCGGCACTGAAAATTCATGGCCGGCGTGGACGACCTGCCCTTGGCGTGCGCAAAGATCACAGACAAGTTATCACCCAAGAGAAGCACCCGAGAGTTGTGAAGGCCGCAATCACGAGCAACGTGGCGTACCGTCCAGGTCTGGGCCCGAGCTCCAAGGTGGACCTGGGCCCTGGGGCCCCCCTCCAGCGGCCAGCGTAGGCCAGTCCAGCAGCGCTCGACCAGGCCCGCCAGGACCTCGGCAAACGCCCGGGCCCGACCCAGGCCCAGGATGTTGGCCTCCGAAGCCCCGGAGATCTCCAGCTCCTCCTGATGCTCGAGGGCCCGGGACCGCGGCGCCTCCGAGACACTGAGGAGGCCACGAAAGCGGGCCCGTTCACGAACGCGACCCACGGCGGCGACCTCTCCCGGCTCCCAGCGCACAGACCCGACTCCAAAGCCCCAGCAGGAGGCGTCGTAGCCGAAGACCCGGCTCGACCAGGGCCGACGCATCGACGCACGAGCCAGAGGAAGCAGAGCACGTATCCACCGAACTTCGCGATGTACAGACGGCCACAAAGGCTGGCGGCGAGTGTAACTCTCGTGAATGAAGACGTAGACCTTTTCCATGAGGCACAAGAGCTCCGGGGAAAGCGAAAACAAAGCAGTAACATGGCCCACGAAACGCTCGAGCTCCTGCCCCGTGATACTCGGTCGAGCCTCCAAGAGATAGTCCGACGCCAACTTCGACCTCCAGAATCGACTAGCTTTAGGACGCCACTCACCCGAGGAGCCCAACAAAGTGAAACCTATGAAGTCATTGCCCCCCGCCTCCGAGCTCTCCAGGGTCGACGCGATCCCGAGGTCCGCGAGCCGAGACTGCATTCCCAGAACGTCCGAGGTAGCAACCGACTTACTCTGGGACAGGGAAACGAAGTTGTCGATATACAATCCGCGAAGCGACCCAACGTCGCCAAGAGGTGGGGGCGGAACTTTATCTAGGAGACACGGGGCCTCGGGGGAAACTCCATCTAACTGGTACTGGTTCGCGGCCTGTACAAGGGCCACATCCCAATTCCAACCTATAGGCGCCACGCGGGCCCGCAAGCGAGCCCAACCACGTTCCCGAACCGCGTCCGGCAGAGAAGCGACGAGGGCCGGGGACAGGTGCGCAATGGGAAGGGACGGCAGGCCGAAAAAACACCTGTACTGTTCAGGGAGAGCGAACTGGTAATAGCAAACTTCGACGTCGCCCCCTTGCAGCACGGGAATAACATGAGGCTGGCATTCGAGATGAGCAAGGGCCTCGCCGGAGGGCAAGACCACGCCAGGGGGCTCGCGAAACCGAAGGTTGGGCACACGAGTATCCCAAATCAGACGAAGGGCGCCTGATTTTTTTCCGAACGAAAAAAACATGCCACTCTCTTCGAGCACGTCGTCGCTGACCTCCACAACACCAGCGTCCCAGAGTTCGGAAACGAACTCTCCAAAAAGTCTAGGGTTGTCCCGCAAAACGGGATCAAGGAACAGGCTGCCATCAAAGCTGTCACGACGGACGGCAGCCTCGCCCTCAGAAAGAAGGATTGAAGGATCTCCAAGCGCGGACTGCAGGGCAGGCGGCAGGCACTCACTCAGAGACACTCGCCCAGAAAGCCCCGCGGGAAGCGACGCGTTCCCTCGCTCAAAGGTCGCCCGAGCACCGACGGCCAACGCATCGTCCGCGTAGCCGGGCCGCGAACCCTGGAGCGACTGCCACGCTCCCAGGGCGCTCCCGCAGTCAGGCGGGGGAGCCGCGACCGATCCATACTGTCGGGCAAGATGCCGAACGGCTGAGACCTGAGCTGAAGTCAACGCAGCAGGCGAAGTCGCAGGCGGCTGCGGAGCACCCAACTCGTTCAGGGCGCGGATGCCCTCGAACAGCCACCCCTCCTGGGCCCGTCGACGCCGAAGTCGCCGTCGCTGACGCTGGGACAAGCCCAGCCCGCTGGCCCCCCCCCGCACAGACCTCCGAGGCGACGGCCAGGGAGATCGGCAGGACGTCGCGCTGCCTCATCTGCTGCGGAGGTGAAAACGCCTCAGGGCGGCACCGCCTGCCAGCCCTGAACCCCCCACGAGAGCCCTCGAGGAGGCGGGGCGCCCCCCCTCGCGGCGGCACAAGACAGGAGGAAGACAGGCCGTCAGGCCTTCTCCTTCTCTTTGTTGGGACCTTTGGGCTTCTTCTTAGGGTCAGCCGCTGCAGGCCCCATCCCAACTCCTTCAGCCAGCGAAGCCTCTTCCCTCGCCTTGCGGCGCTCCTTGAGCACAGCGGCCCGGGAGGCCAACTCCTTCGCCACGAAATCCTCCAACTCGGGCATGATGATGGCGCTGCTCCGAAGATTCTTGACACCGAGGAACAGAGAACGCTCATTCAGCCAATCGTCGCCGCCCGAGCCGCCGGTGTCCACCACACGAAGTAAGTCCTTGTAGGCGCTCTCCCACATCTGGTACTGGCGGCTGACCAGCTCGAACGTCGCCAGATTGCAGATCTGCACTTGGCCCACCGCCATCGCAACCTCGATGAGCTGGGACAACAGCAGGTGCTCGTCCACGCCCACGTCGGTGGCCGACAGGCCCATCACCGATCGCCACCAGTAGTGTCGTTGAACGGGTCTGTGGTTCCCGTCGTGGATCCGCTCCGCCGTGAAGTAGGCCGACCGCGGGCCCTCGATCTCCCAGCTGTCCGCGAACTCGACGAGCTGCATGTCCTGCAGAGCGCTCGCAAAGCTGCGCCGGAAGCGCCGCTGGCCATCCCGCTTGGCGGGCAGAATGTGAGAGTCGTCACCGCCCGCAGCACCAGGAGCCACGGGCAGTGTGCCCTCGAGCCCGCCCGACAGCACCGCGCCGTCCAGCAGCTTGAAGAGGCGCCGGTCGTTGGAGCTGAACTCGACCGCCCCGAGAGCGGCCGTGAGAGCGTCGCCCGCTTGCACGATGCCCTGGCCCTCCAGCGCAAACCACTTCTCCACCAGGGGAGCGGCGCCCTCAGCAGGAACGAGCGCGCCTGGGCCTCCGCCTCCGGGGGCGGGGCCTGGCGCCACCGGCGCGGCGGGCCGAAGGCCCCGCGCCAGCGCCTCCCCCGTCTCCATGTAGTGCTGGCGGTCCGCGCCGAACTGGTAGTGATCGATCAGAAAATGTGGAAGTCCACGAAGAGCGGCTGGCAACTGCCCATTGGCCAGAAACTGCCGCAGCCCATCAGCCTCGGCGAAATCCTCCTCGAAGATATCGAAGTCCCGAGAGATCGCGACCCACTTGGAGCCGCTGACGTGGCCGGGCAGGACGACGCGCCCATGTCACTCCATTGCCGCCCCGCCCGCGCCCTGAAAGTAGCAGACGAGGGCCCGGTCGCCGGGGTGGGCTGCCTGGAACCACGCTGGCGTCGCCATCCTCGCACGCGAGGGCCAAGACGGCGTCGCCGACCGATGAAGACGAACTCGGACTCTTGTGCCCCGAGCAGCGGCCGAACAACAATCCGAACACGAAGGCCGTGAACGAGCAGCTCGTCAGAAACCCGAGCACGCTGAGAAGGCCAAACCCGTCGACGCTCTCGGAATGGCAGTGACAGTCGCACTGGCAGACGCACTGGCTCGCGCGGCCGACCAACTCCGCCAAAAGGCGGCACTCCCCGCTGGCGGTATCCACTGGGGGTGGCGCCTCGCAGAAGCACTCGACGGGCGCAGGCCACAAGAGAGTGCGGAGAAAAGCAAGCTCGCGAAGTGCTGAGAAGCTGAGGAGCAGAGCTTCCATGAGGTTCCTGTCCTGAACCAAAAAGCGCTATAGAACGGAGAACGGATGACGAGGTCGGGTCATGAACGTGGGGCACAAATATCATCATCATCATCATCATCATCATCATCATCATCATCATCGTCATCGCCAACATCAACATAACCATCATCATCTGATAAAACTCCAGCGGCAGTCTGAACAAAGGCGAAGCGAAGGCGATATCACAAGCGAAACGAAGGCGAGAAAACAACCGAATCGAAGGCGAAACGAAGGCGAGAAAACAATCGAAACGAAGGCGAGAACACAAGCGGAAGGATAGCGAGCCGAAGGCGAGGAACCAAGCGAAACGAAGGCGAGCAAATAAGCGAAACGAAGGCGAAACGAAGGCGAGAAAACAAGCAAAACGAAAGCGAGAGAACAAGCGAAACGAAAGCGACATGAAGGCGATCAAACAAGCGACACGAAGGCGAGGAAACAAGCGAATCGAAGGCGAAACGAAGGCGAGAAACCAAGCGAAAAGAAGTTGAGAAAACAAGCCGGGGACGAGTTCGCGGCGCTCTAGAACTTCTACATGTCCCTTCAAAACATGGCTGGCCCAAATTCAGAAAATTAAACATTTCCTCATGCACGCCCTGCGCCGCGGACGGGCCCCGCTCGAGCGGCCCGAGCGGGCCCATGCGTGCCCGCAGGCCGTGCGTGGGGAAATTCTGGTCCTGGGAAATGCGGCGATGCGGTCCTGGGATTGGAGGGGGGCCGATATCGAGATATCGAGACATCGAGTCCTCGCCCCCGATATCGAGATATCGAGCCCCCGCCTGGCCCCGCCCCCGATATCGATATATCGAGATATCGAGTCCCCGCCCCCGATATCGATATATCGAGCTCTCATTCGCCTAGACCTCGCGGGGGCCCCTGCGGTGAGCCTTTGCCCGAAAGGGCTGTACATAATAACAAACACACCCACTGTTATCGCATCAGCAGGTGCGTCAGTCCTCGAATCTCACCCAACAGCACGTGCCACGTGGCCTGCCGCGCTCCTGGAACCCGCCCTGGGCGCGGCAGACTCTGTCGCCAGCCTGGCGACCTACAACTCGAGATTGCCAGGGGAGGCGGTCGGGGGAGCGGAGGCAGCGCTTGAGGCCACCCCCCTTCCCCTGCTGGTCTACTCCGTCTGCTGAGAGCTAAAGGGCAGCTCTCATTCGCCTAGACCTCGCGGGGGCCCCTGCGGTGAGCCTTTGCCCGACAGGGCTGTGCATAATAAGAAACACACCCACTGTTATCGCATCAGCAGGTGCGTCCGTCCTCGAATCTTACCCAACAGCACGTGCCACGTGGCCTGCCGCGCCCCTGGAACCTGCTCCGGGCGCGGCAGACTCTGTCGCCAGCCTGGCGACCTACAACTCGAAATTGCCAACCCCTCCATCCAAACGGGCGGGCGGGCGGGCAGCGAAGCGCAGCGAGCATTCGCAGATCATTAACAGATCACACGGAGCGGAGGCCTCAACGAGGCTCCAAGACAATTGTGCATGGCACTCACTGAGCTAGGCGCTAGCCTCGCCGATATCTCTGGACCCAGCCGCCGACAAACATGGCGATCACGTACTTGGCCCAGCCTCTCGACTTCGGCTGCTGCAGCAGCGGAGGACCACCGTCCGACCGCACGGTCGACGCGATCGACTCCGCCAGATGCACGGCCTCTGCCTGCATCTGCTCAGGGACCTGATCCACGAGCTCCGCAGTCCGGGCCGCTGTGTTCTCGATCATCTCATCGACCAAGGCTGCAGCACTCTCTACGACGGGCACAACGGCGGACAAGTTATCCCACATTACAGAGGCATTCTCAAACACTGTGACCACCATCTCTGCCATATCCTGAGTCTTGGTGGCCGCCGAGGATACCGCACTCGCTCCTCGTCGACTGAGACGATAGACACTCGCAAAGGACCGGTCGGCCAGATGTTCCATCCGCCCGAGGACGCAACTCGCCACAGCATCCAAGACGATGTCTGGACGATGCGCCAGCAGGCCACACAGCACCAAGACAATCGGCACACCCAAAGACTTGAAGTACCGCCCGTCAAAGATGCTCTGGACGAAGTCATCCAGCCACAGCAGGCGCAGAAGAGACCACCAGGTTCCTGCCGAGGCCGGCCAGGCAAGCACGAGCGCCCAGCGCGAAGGCGGGCAACTCTTGTTTGCTGACGTCGACCGAGCCGGAGTCTGGAGGCTGACCGCGACCAGCGCATCCTTGGGGCCGCCGGCCTCGTCGCCGTCCTTCAGCGGCCCAGCGCAGACGACCTCAGGCAGGATAGTCCCGAGCTCCTCCAAGGCTTGCACGGCACGAGTGTAGGCACGAAGGACTATCAAAGGATAAGATTGGCTCTGACGCGAGGCCACCTATTTCGCATAGTCGTGCTTCTCGTCAAAGACGGTGCCGACCTGCTCCCCGAACGCTGTCTTGCCCGCCGTCACCTCTACACGGCTGGCCGCCTCCAGCAGGCTAGACGCCGAAAGCCTGAGGCGGGCCGCCGAGGGCTTAGTGGCAGGGAGGGCCGACATCCAGGCAGCGGAACTCCGCCCGGACGCGGTCCAGCGCGTTGGCAACCTCAGGTTCGAGATCGAATAAGGCTGCGGCAGCATTGGCTTCTTGAATGTAGTGTGCAAGCGATCTCGCTGACGCCCATCTCCCATGGAACTTCACCCAAGCGATATTTCTAGTACGCATGAATAGCTCAGTGGCCCCACCCGCTCGAAGTCCTGCTAGTGTGAACTGTGGAAAACCTAGTTGTTTCACCAAACTCACATGGATCTGACGGGGACCAGCATAGCCAGAAGGGAACACCAAGTCATCAGGTCCTACACGGCACATCCACCACTTAAGCCAGGCAGCTGTCGAGGGCCTCGAGAGTAACACAGTCTGACGCTTCCCCAAGAAAGCATTGTTTTTCGGGTTCTCAATCACCAAGACAGCCTGATCCGCAGCACGGTTACGACTGACACGGACATGACAACCTTTGAGCTTCGCACCCTCGCCCGGTCGCAGCAGCCCATCCATCGCGACACGAACAAAGATGCTGTACTCTAGGAAGGTCAAGCAGGGCCTCCGTGTTAGCAGCAGCGCTCTCGCTAGCGCCCACCGCCTGAGCGCCCGCTGGATCTCTCGAGGGATCGGGGTCCTGGTCTGAGAGTCCTCGCCGAAGGCCCAAGAACGAACTGAATCCCAAGCGCCTCCAAGCTGACCCCTGAGCTCTGGGCGGCGCTGCTGCACCACCAGGATTGCGCACCTGGCCTCCGCAATCGATCTCTTCTCATTGAACAAATACTGGACAAACTCAATCAGGCGGTTCAAGATCTGGCTGCGCGTTGCCGTGGGGAGCCAGTGCTCCAGCTTGCCCCACCTCTGCACTTTGCCGAAAGCCGACAGCATCTCCGCCGCCTTCACCAGGCGCGCAGCGTGCGCGTTCCCGCGCAGCGACGTCTGCAGGTCCCTGCAGCGAGGATGGCCGCCAGCGGGACCCTCCCCTGGGAAGCCCAGGGTGCTGTCAAGGATAGCTGACACCCCGCGGCCCCACCTGCATCGGCGAGCCGCGGAGCCTTCGCTCCGCCTTCCCCAGTGCTGCAACCAGCGCGTCAGCGAACTCGCCGGTGTAGGCTGCCGCCAGCGCCGCTCGCTTCTGCCAGCGTCCGCCCACCTTGACGCCGCCCTCCAGGTGCACGTGCCTGCGCCGTCCTTGGCAGCGCCTGCGCAGCAGCTTGAGCTCCTCGAAGTTCCCCAGCAGGTAGGTGCTCTTCTTGTAGCGGGCCCCGGCGTCGTCCGGCGGCCCCAGCCCAAACTGGCACATGTCGCACTCGACGAGGAAGACCCCCTCTCGCCCCAGCAGCCGCTGCAGCCTCGGCTGGCGGAAGAGCCAGGAGCGCCTGGGGTTCTCGACCACCCAGAGGCCCCCTTCCTCTCCCAGCGCCTGGCAGGCCGCCGCTGTCGTGACCGCGAGGCCGTGACCGTCCCGCTCTGCCTGGCGGGAGCCGCCACCCTGCGGCCGCGCGGCGCTCCGAGTCCCTGGCCCGCAGTTCTGGCACAGCAGCCCGAGCGAAGTGCAGGAAGTCGCCCGCGCGCCCGCCCGCACTGCGCGGTCCCGGATCCGCTCCAGCTCGCGGCGCACATTGGCGGCCTGCAGGAGGTCCTGCGCAGGGCGGTAGCCCGAGGGCGGGAAGGCGTCGATAGCGGCCTCCACGCGGGCCCCTCGTGCGGCCCAAGCGCGGGGCACCGCGCCGCAGCCCGCAAAGTACTCCTGCTTCGGCCAGAGGCGCGCGAGCCCTCGCGGCACGGACCACTGCAGACGGGAGGGCTCTCCTCTCGGCTGCCAATCGCAACAGGGCGCCGAACTCGAGAGCGCCTCCTCGGCGGCCGGCGGCGCAGCGGCAGGCGCCTGCGCCGCGGCGGGCGCGGGTCCCAGGCCCGGCGAGCCCGGCACAGGCAGCGGGTGGCGAGCTGCCGCTGCCCTTGCTGCGGCGCCCGCCTCCCGCTGGCTCGCCACGATCCACTCCGGCGGGGGCCCCGCCTCAAGCAGCGGGCGGAATCGAGACGGTGCGTCGGCGGGATTGAAGTGGGCCCCGATCCAGACTAGGGCCACATGGCAACGTGTGCTGAGCAAATACGGCATCACCGATCGCAGGATACCATTTAGCTTGAACGAAGAAGAGCGCCCCTTTCCGAAAGCACCTGCACACACGCGGCTGTCGACCCCACACACAAAGGTCGTTCCTGCACTCGCGCAAGCACGCGAAGTCAAAGGCGCAGTTCGCCTCTCCGAAGTTCCTAGCCCTCCACCTTCTCTAGACACATGAGCTGACCCAGAGCGCCCCTCGGCCACATGACTGAACTCGGCCTCGAGGTCTCTAGCCCTAGACGCCGCGGTCACCCCAGAGCTGCCCAAGACGTCCCCGCGCAGGGCCATCTGGATGTTGTCGAAGCCCCTCCGCCTGATCTCCCCTTTTAGGGCCCTCATCTCCTGTAGGTTGATGTGGCTGTGCTTGCTGAACCTACCACCCCGCTGGACCTTCCAATCGAAGCTCGCGAAAGCCTCATTCAAATCGTTGACGGGCCTGCACATCCTAGTCGGCATGGGGACCTGGTCTATCTCGTTCCAGTCGAGCCTCACATGTTCCCCACGATGAGCCCCAATACGACACAGAGCCCTGGAGACCTTCTCGGGGACCTTTGCAGAGCAAGACCCGCAGGAGTCCTCGGTCGCGTCGCTCGTCGAGACAATCGAATCCACAGGCCATCGAATATGGGCCACTGCCGTCGAGAGGAGGGCGGCGGCTGCGAATAGCTCGTCACGTATGTCAGCGGGAATGGTAACCACCTCGTGCTCGTGACGCAGGCTCTCAAGCCAGTTGAAAGAACGATGGAAGCATCCAAACAACTCTCGGCGATGACTGAAGGGATGAACAAAATTGGCAATAATCATCCGAAACATCTCTTTCGACACCTTTTTGCTCTCTAGCACGTCTAACGTCAGCGATGCGTCCGCCTCTTGAGCCGCGGGCTGCCGACCTCGCCTGGGTCGTCGCGCACCTCCGTGCCCCAGGCGGTGAAGGTAGGCTGCTCGACAAAGTCCTTCTCCACCGAGCGCGGCAGCCCTGCAGACTCCCACGCCTGCTTCGCCCGCTCGTTGATCTCCACGTCTCGCAGCTTGCTCCTGTCATCGCCCTCCGAGAACACCTGCACCGTCAAGTGGTCGTCGAGGTAGTTCCCCTCCCAGGTCTTCCCGATCGGCGCGGTCAGCTGAGCGTTCAACGACTCGGCTGGAGTCATACAGCCCTGCTTCTTCAGAATGCTCACATTCGTCTCTTGGCAGACGTCGCACGAGTTGGCGTCGCCCATGCCCCACGCAGTCAACGCCAGGTAGTAGTAGGTGTTCGGCTCTGTCGCATACGAGCCCAGCAAGCGGCCCTGCCACGGCCGACCAACCACATTCCGGGGCTCCGTTCCCGTCGGCCTATTCACCTGGTAAAAGTAGGTCTTGAGGTCGTAGACGGTGCCCCTCACGTGCTCGGTCGGCCCCTTCAGCCTCAGCAACTTGAGCTGCTCGCCCGACGGCAACTGCAGCCAGGCCATCCGCTCCTCGGTCGCGTTCTGAGGGCGCCTGTCTTGGATCAGACGGCCCCACTGCTCGCTGTGCTCCACCGCGAACCAGCCAGACGCTAGCACGCATCCGTTCTTGTCGCGGGGCACCTCCGAGGCTGGGGCCAGGATTGCCATCCCGCGGTCCAGCAAGTCCTGGGCCAAGATCCGCTCGTTGCCCTTCGAGATGCTGTGACATCTCCTCGGAAGGCTGGCAGGCCAATCGCCCGGAGCCAAGCAGCGGCCCAGGTAGCCGACGTACTCCTCGAGCCGCCAGCCCGCGAGGTGGTCGGCAGGATCGCAGCCCGGACCAGGCGTCTTCAACTTCACGCGCTCGGGCTTCACCTCCAACGCCCGCGCCAGCGTGTCTGCCGACAGCTGCCCCACGTGCATGCCCCACCCAGGGTCTCCTTCAGGGCGAAGACGCCTGTCGTAAGAACTCCCTGGAAGGGCAAACAATTCAGAGGCCAACTTCTGCAGCCTCGCAAGCCCTCGCGTCGGCTGAGCATCACGCCCAGCCGCGCGGCAGAACTCGAACAGGTCCTGATAGAGGTTCCCCACCGCCACCCTCCGTGCAGGAGACCACTGGAGGTCGGGGTAGCTCGCCCTCGCCTTCGGGGGCCCGCGCTCCCAGAAAGAGAACAGGGAAACCAGCGCGTTCGTCAGGTGCATCGCCCGCTCGGCCAGCCGCTGCTGCTTCCGACCTCTGGGATATGCACCCTCTCGAGCCGCCCGGCTCGCGACGTCCACGAAAGGCAATGGCATGGGAAAAAGACGTTCAGGATCTGTCGAGGCAGGCGACCCTTCACCCGCGATAGATTCGCACGAAACTGATGCATTGCGGTGCCAATGCATGAAACGCTCCAGAGGCGCCCCCGCGAGAAGCCGGCTGCTCCGCCAGAAACCCTACCTTCCCAGGCAAGAGGCCGCCGTCGGAGCCGAGGACGCTTTCACGCCTTCTCCCCCTTTGGCTTCTTCTTGCGCTTGGTCTTGCCGGGCTTCTCGCTGGTGCCCGCCGCCTGGTCCGCCGCCTGGCCGTGGTCGGAGTCGTCGGGGCTGGCCACGAGCGCGCCCCTCTGCCTGATCTTCGTCTCGAGCGCCTCGAGCTCCGTGATGTAGGCCGCCACGGCCTCCGTCTCGAACTCGTCGCCCGCGAACCCGCGCCTGCTGTAGGGATCGACCAAGCCCGACAGCGGCCACGCCGCCTTCCACGAGCCCTGGTTGATCGCCACCTGCTCTAGAGCCTTCATGATCTGCACCAGCTGGCCGTGAGCCTCGTCGAACTTGTCGTTGTCCATGTACTCGAGAACCGCCACCAGCATGGCGAACGTGTTCTTGAGGCCGTACAGCTTTCCCCACGGGATGTGGCGCTTCCCGTAGTCGAGGTAGGTCCAAGCCATGCCATGCTGTACGCCCAGCGCTCGCTTGACCTCGCTCCTGTAGGCCTTCACCACGCGGAGCGGGTGCTGCTGCACTCTCTTCCTCAGGCGGCGCATGCCACGCACCGCCTTGCCGGCCTTCCCGACGCTGCCCACGCCGATGCCGTCCTCCTCGCCCGAGGAGGTGCTCTTCTTGCCTGACTCGAGCCTCTCTAGGACCTCGAGCATCCGCAATTGCAGCAAGCTCTGGAGGCCGTGCGCGTCCATGTTGTTGGCAGCGGCCGCCGCGCCGGAAGGCTCCTGGGCCTGTCCAGCTCGACTGCCCGCCACTGACCTGAAGTCCTCCTCCTCCTCGCTGCTGGAGAGCTGCCGCCGCCTGTCGCCGCGCGCAGCCGAGCGCCGCGGCGCCTGCGCCCGCTGGGGCGCTGCGCGCGCCTGGAGCGGCTCTCCGCCTGAGTCCGAGGAGCCGCTGCCCTCGCCGTCGGGCTCGGCCTGCTGGAGCCGTCGCGAAGCCCTCGCGATCAGACGATCCAGCCCCGGCAAGCCTGTGCTGCCCGCGGAAGGTAGGCCGCCACCCGACTGCGCACTGGCGCCTCCGGCGGCCGCCCCCGCGGCAGGCGCCCTCGGCGCCGGCCGCCCGAGCCCCGCCTCCACGTCCTCGGTCGAGGTGTGGAGGCCGCCTCCAGCTGCGACCAGCGCCGCCTGCAGGGTCTCGGCCTCGAAGCGCCGCTCCCCGAAGTGCATGTAGTCGTCGTCCCATGCCTCTGGCGCTTCCACCCGCAGGCGCCTCGTCGCCACGACCACGAAGCCGACCTGCGAGCTCTCACCGTCGGCGTCGGCGACGCTCACCTCGTAGTCTGCGCCACCCACTGCTCGAGCAGCAAGCGCGGGCACAGCCAGAGAGACTCTCTGCTGCTGCTCGTGGACCTCGGCCACGAAGCCTCCGACGTTCACGGCCTGGCGTCGCCCCGCTTGCCCGCCAGCGATCCTGGCGAACGCGCGATCCCCGGGCGCCCAGGACATACCACCTGCACGTGCGCTGCTGCTCGAGCCACAGCAGCGCTTGAGGCCACCCCCCTTCCCCTGCTGGTCTACTCCGTCTGCTGAGAGCTAAAGGGCAGATATCGAGTCCCCGCCCCCAGATATCGAGATATCGAGATATCGAGTCCCCGCCCCCGATATCGAGATATCGAGGTATCGAGTCCCCGCCCCCGATATCGAAATATCAAGATATCGAGTCCTCCCGACCCCCACCTGGACGCATTGCGACCACAATGGAAACCTCGACAGCACGCCATGCAGGTTACCTAAAACTGGAAGTCAATAAACAGTCAGTTCATCATAGTTCGGTTGTCGTCGCATTACCCAAGACTTGATGATGTGAACGATGATGAGGATGATGATGATGACGTTTATGATGTTTATGATGATGCTGATGATGATATTGATGATGCTGATGATGAGATTGATGATGATGTTGGTGCTAATGCTGATGCTGATGCTGATGATGATGACGGCGATGATGATGATGATGATGATGATGATGATGATGATGATGATGATGATGATCATGATGATGATGATGATGATGATGGTGATGATGATGGTGGCGATGGTGATGATGATGATTATGATGATGGTGATAAAGAAAATGATGGGCATGGCAGCTCCGAACATGAAGGCGATGAATATGCCAGCTCGATGGTGATGTGCGCTTCTGGACTTCCAAGTTGGGGCCGCGCGGTCGCCGTGCTTATCTCCTTCGGCCTACCGCCACGCTATGTACACGAGAGGGCCGGAGACAACCCCCTCGGAAGTGCCAGCAGCCTCGCCTCAATCAGGCTGAGATTGTTGAGCCACTGCAACATCATGCCCTGCCCTCATGCGTACTCAAGCAGCAACTCTTCCAGCCGGCGCCACGAGCGGCAGGGCTTCGCTGCCTGCTTCAGTAAGTCAAATGCGTTCCTGCCGTCGCTCGCGCGGCGCATGCTGGCGTCCGCGCGCAGGTCGAGAAGGCTCTCGCAGAGGTCCAGCTTTGCGCCAGGCAGGAGGTTACAGACCAGGGCAGCCATGAGCGGCGTAGATTGCTCCGTGGCAGGGTCCTGCTGGTTAATGTCTGCGCGCAGATCAACCAGAAACTTCACAAGGGCGGTATTACCAGCGCGCACGGCAGCGGTCAAGTGCGGCGCCATGGCAGCGGCGATGTTGCCCCCAGCCTCCGCCGTGAGAAGCACTTGCGCCAGACCGCGGTGCGGCAACGCGTGCCCTGGCGAGTGCGAGAGGGCCAGCTCCTGCGCGCCGGCCGCCAGTGTGCCAGCACACATCTCGCGCACCCTCTCCAGGTCCAGGCTGGGGTCTGCGCATCCCTCCCAATGCCACGATCGCCAGCTCCTCAGGGACGTGAGCGCCGCAGCGGCGTCGCAGACGGCGGTGGCGGCCTCCAACCGAGCTAGAGCTTCCCCTGCGGGCTGCAGCGGCGGTAGCAGCCACGCTGCAGCCGCCTGCAGGCGCAGGTGCCCAGTGCCCGCCAGGTACGACGAGACCTCGCCCAGGAGTCCGGCCGGCGCGAGGTCCCTCAATTGCATGGCGCCGGCCGCGGCCGCGGCGGTGCCACGCGCGCGTGCGCGCGCAAGGGCCGGCCTGGAGACGCAGGGCCTCCCGCGGGCAAGGTCCAGATGCTCGTCGTCGTCGGCGCCGCGGACGTGCGGCGCCGAAGAGGCCCGCGCGGCAACAACATTGCTTTCAGCTTCCCCATCGTGATCCGCATGCTCTTAATTGTCATCCTCGTTCTCCGTCTACTTCTCCTCCTCCTCCTCTTCCTACTCCGCGTCCTCCGCGTCCTCCTCCTCCTCCTGCGCTGATGGCGGACCGACGGCAAACGTGCACGTTCCCAAAACATACATATCGATTTCAGGCCCAAAACGGACACCATACGGGTCAGGCGAAACACATACCATGAATAGTCTGAAAGCGTACTTCGAAGTCTTCGGAGGCGTTCAAAATATGCAACACGTACAAATTAATACGACAGCAGCCGCAAGGCATGCCCTGCGTGACCAGGAGAGCAGCCAAACGTGTGAAAATCGCAGAGCTAACGCAGCTGCCTGCCCTCTGGAATGGGCAATGTCGAGAGCATCATACAACACATCCCATGGCAGAAGGCGATGTGCGTAGGAAAAACAACATACAACTCTGACGCAAATGAGCAGCGTGCACCGTCCACGTCTAAGTATCGGAGGAATGCTACACCATCCCCAATACGCCTCGCCCAGCAAAATCACATGGCATCAACCCCTGTGCGCTGCGCTCGGCAACATGTCCGCCGCCGGCCTGGCATATCACGACGCCCCCGACACTCCCGAAAGGGACTGCAAACTGCAACGCATTGCGCCAAAAATCACTCGGAAAAGGAAGCTGGATCTCCGAGCACCCTGGTGTTGACTTCTGTCGGAGAGCCTGCCAGCGGTGAAGCACCCAACCAATGTTTTATTTACGCCGAGGGTGAGAGGTCAACTCATTGACTGCCCTGAAATCAAAGAATTTATTGGAGGAGAGGGGAGGGAAGGAGGGGGAGGCTGAGGAGAGCAGGGAGGGAGGAGAAAGAACGACGACATGGTGGTGAGGAGGATGATGAGGAGGAGGAGGAGGAACAGGAGGAAAAGGAGGAGGATATGATGTTACTCGTCTCCGTGCCCATCCTCCTCCTCCTCACGGTGCAGAAACCCTTTGTAAAACAAATCCCCAGTGTCAAGACCTAAGCTGGCCCTTCGACTGGGCTGCGGTCATCCTCGTTCGACGTCCCTGGTCACCCGTCTCCATCGCCGTCCTGCCCCCCCCTCCAATCACGTTCTCCTCCTTCTTTTCTTTTTCCACCGCCCACCCTCCCCCTCCATGTCCTTCCCCCTCGTTCCGCGTCCCTCCTCCCACCTCCCTTCCTCCCCCATTCCCGAAAAGGCCAATCAACTCTCTCAAGCAACCCGTTTTCACCACGGGCGTGGCCAGCAACCGCGGACACCACGCGCTAGCCACAGCGACGCGCTGCTAGTTTACAACAGGGCAATGTCATTTCCATGCTGCATCGGGGTTTTGCCCCGTCGACCTTCGCAGCGCCCACGCATCATGTCGCACATTGGGTTCGGTACCTGATCTCAGAACACAACGCACCCTCGCCAGCTCGAGAATGTTTGGTGGCTTGCCAGATGCCGGTCGATCGAAGAGAAAGGCGATGCAAAGCATATCCCCCCCCCCCCCCCCCCCCCCCCGAGGCGCGCATCTATATTCCATCCCGGGTCA